TGGCATCTCTTTGAAAGAGTGTGCTCAGCAGGTAGAGCAGAAGGCAACAGACGCCGATCGACGGAAGGATCAATTTCCGTCTGATGATTCTTTGCATCTATGTGCGGAAATTTTGTTGTGTCAAGGAGTTGAGTGAGATATTTTGTGGTGGTGCCGCCACGAGTATTATTACTCCCAATGTGCGCGTGCAGACGGTCACTGTATTTTTTAAATCATATCAAGGGTGCTCGTAGGTAATCGCGCTGGCAGATATTGTAGTTGTACCACTGAAGGTGGTTGGTGATATTTGGGTCGTTAAAATTATGAGAGGACGAATCATAATTCGCCTTTTTGTGGCACAGAATTGTAACAGTCTGTGCTTAACATTGTTTGTCGCCCCACCAGACGTGAATTTGGCCTTTTGCGTTTGTGGTGCCTGGTGTACTGACTAAGCAACTTTCATACTCTAAGAATTCCAGATGGAAGTAAAAATTCAATAGCTGGAAATCCAACATCTTTTTAGTGCGTAGCTCGGGGGAATAAAGTGAAGTTTAGAACTATATTCTTCCCGCTTTCGACTACATTGACAGTTTCCGAGTATACTATCTGCAGTAGGTTAGGGTGGTATTAGAGCAGCAACTAGGATATGATGTCAATAAGTCTACTCTGTGGAACAGCAATGCGTGATATGTGAGTTCGAAAAGTGGCTTGCAACATTCACAATACACTATTCATGCGCACTGACAGTTTGATTTTTAAACTAGCAATTTCTCAGTCGACAGCTGGAGTTTGACTAGGAAAAAAGCGTCTGACATAATTTCAGCTTACCCTTTCTTTCAGAAACCATCTCCGAAGGACGGAATTGCCTGAGAAAATGAAACAAAGTCTTTTTGACCAAAGATGCCTCACAGCATAGTACATCTACCTGTCCTTCATACTGATACCTATGCGCATTATGGACTAGTCTTGCTCTCTAGTACTCATAGTCTCTAAAATCCTTGCGAGTTACTCAGTTGCCCTACCTCCTAGATGAGGATCATTCGGCGTCTGTCAAAC